CTCTCGATGCAGGTCAGGGTTTTTATCAAGGAGGAAAGTGAAAATAGAACAAAGAAACCAGAGGAAGGGGTATGGGCAATCCATCTCTCCCAGGAGTAAAGAGAAGTGGGGTTCTGAGGGAGTGTCACTTCCCAAGGTTTCCTCTCCCTGTTTGACCATTATCTCTCTGAATTTGTAGTTCGCTATGGACACCTGGGGATTTTTACAGCTGGTGCTGGGCATTCCCTTCTCCCCCCAAACAGCCTTCTTATAAGCTGTGAAAAAGAGGCTAGAGCCCTTGCCAGTGTGGCTCAGTGATTAGAGGTGTCAGCCCACAGACCAAATGGTTGCAGATTCGATTCCCAGTCAACAACATGTATCTGGGCTGCAGGTTTGATCCCCAGCCCTGATCAGGGTGTGTGCAGGAGGCAACCAATCGATGCATCTCTCTCACACTGATTTTTTTTTTTTACCTATGCCATCTTGACCGGAAGTCGCACACACTGATGTTTTGCTCTCTCTCTCCCTCCCTCTCTTCCACTCTCTCTAAAAATCAGTGGAAAAAATATCCTAGGGTGAGGATTAAAAAAAAAAAAAAGACTAGATAAGAAAGCATAACACAAGATTTTACTTACACATTCTTAGGATACCAGAAGGTTGGCTATAGCCTTAAAACAAAAGGAATGCATAGCCTTTTTACTGCTTAATTGGAATGTTAATTTGTGGTTACAGACACATACACACAAAATAATTAAATAGACATATCATGTTTTGGGATAGAAACATTCTTTATTTAACACATCCCCAAAGAAACTATTAAAATTTTGAGGGAAATTTGACCAAATAATCCTTTAGTTTATGTATAATAAATATACATAATATAATATTATGTATAACATAAATATATAACAAAAGCTGAGAACACTCTGAGAATTAACAGAAAAAAGTGGTAACTTACTTTTAATTGGTATAAAAAAACTTTCACAGTTACAGCAGTTGGTATTAGCACTGAAAGTTCAGAAACAGACTTGAGGATATAATTCAGTATATGATTCAAATCACTAGGGGAAAAATTAACAGTCAATATATATAATTGGACAACTGGCTAAACCACTTAGCAACAATTAAAAAAAAAAAAAAGGATCCCTCCAAACTCATTCCTTATTCTAAAATAAATTTAAGATGGAATAAAGATTTAAAAAAAAAATTTTTTTTTTTTAACTGCTGCATTTTCCCTGCTGGTGTGGCTCAGTGGTTTGAGCATCTTCCCATTGACTGAGAGGTAGCCAGTTGATTCCAGTAGGGCACATGCCCAGGTTGCAGGCTCAGTCCCCAGTAGGGGGCGTGCAGGAGGCAGCCAATCGATGTTTCTCTCTCACATCAATGTTTCTATTTCTCTCTTCCTTGCTCTCTCTCTAAAAAATCAATAAAAACATTTTTAAAAATGCTGCATTATATTTCTTACCTTCAGATTGGAAGTTCTGAGCATGGCATCAAAGGCAAAATACATAAGGAAAAAGACCAATAAATTTGACTATACAAATTTGAAGTTTTTATGTGGCAATGTATGACACAAACCAGGTCAAGGGGAAATGATAAAGTAGAAAATTTGTTTACAAATGTACGATAGCTAACAGTGAAAATTACTACAATACAAAGAGCTTTTTCAAACTAATAAAAGACAAACATGCCAAGTACTGAGAAAAAAAGGAAATCCACCAAGACAGAATTAGAAATGACCAATCAACATGCAAAATAGTCAAAGAAATACAAATAAAACATTGAAAAGGCATTTTTCACCTACCAAATTAATGAAGATTAAAGATATCAACAACAGTGGTATTGAGGCTTTCTACAGGTGAGAGTATAAACTTCCTATGAGATTCTTCTGACAATATGTAGTAAATATAAAATGCAAATAGTGGTTTTCATTACAACACTTTCACTTCTAAGAATTTAGCCTAAGTATTAATTGCATACAATTCTGCAGACTTGTGTAAGAATAGTTAACATCTGGAAACACTCTAAATGTACAATAGAGTACTGGTCAAATAACTTATGGTACAAATTTTTAATGCAACCATTATTAACATGAAAAATATGTCCAGGATATATTGATGAATAAAAGAAACATGATATAAAACTACATGGATAGTTTGACCCCAGTTTGTTTAAAAAAGAATGAGAGAGAGAGAAAGGAAGATAATGTGTGTGAGAGAGAGGGGGAGGGAGGTATGGGGGAGGGGGAGAGGCAAAGAAAACAAGGAAAAAAGGTGTACCAAAGAAGTATGGCTATAGATACACAGGCACGTCAACAAAGTGACTCATTCTTTCTCTCTCTCTGAAACAACAAGCATACACTCCTTTTAAAATTGATTTGCTTCATTGTATCACCAGCCCACAAACTTGGGCACAGAAAAAGACACAGGCTGGCTTCTCTCTAAAGTCAGGGACTTCAGTGTAACCAGCAAAGATCCTTAAAACACTATTTGATTGTCTACCACTACCACTGGTTTTCTCTTAGATGAATAGAATAGAAAAATAAAAGGTTTAGAAAATCAGAATGTGAGCTTAGCAATAAAAAGGGAACACTCAGAATTCTTATTTACTTTCTTCAAAATCAACTTAAAATTAACTTTATTCCTAAGCTAATGTTGAATTTCAATATAATCACTTCTGCTCTCGTCTTAAGTGCCCAGCTACAAGTTCATGCCTTGAGTCAGAGGTGGACTAGTACCTATTTCCCCTAATTAACCTCCATCTATTTGTTTGGTTGTTCGTGGCTCCTTTGAGAAGTGTGTGGGGGGGGTACCTTATAGTGAAAAAGGTAGAAAAAGACACATGTGCTATAAAAGTAAAGGCACTAGTAAAAGATAGAAAGACAGATAGATAGATAGATAGATAGATAGATAGATAGATAGATAGATAGATAGAGTCTGGATATGTAAAGGCCTGACTCGACCAAAACCAAAAGTCCTGTCCAAAGATCAGCTCAATGCCTATCAAATCCCAGGAGTGAGAATTAGACTTGCATTCAGACTTGGCCCCACAATTCAAGTCACGTATCTGTCTGAACCCATTTCTCTGTTCTAGAATGGGGTAAACAATAACCCCTAACATTCCCACCACACAGAACTGTTGTGAGAATGAAGAACAGGTACAAACAAAAACCATGGTGGAGATCAATTAAAACTATGGGTGCACGCACGCGTACTCACACACGCACACACACACTCAGCCAGGGAACAATCTGCTCCATGTCTGGGCAGCCCCCCAATTTTGATCCCTAGTCTAGAAAGGAGCTCAAGACTGGATCTTAGTGCTCACCTCTATGCACTGTCCCGAGACAGCTAACACGAAGACCCTTCCTTCCTCCATCCCCACCTTAGAACCCGGCTTTATTTCCTGGCACTCATTACCCAACTCTGGGTGCTACCTGACTTGTCCTTTGACAGAGGACCCACATTCTCCCAGGAAGACCCACTATTGTCTCCTGTGATGCCCTCCCACCCCCTGGAATCCACTTGGAAAAAAAGTATTGTGGTAAATCTACCAGGCGAATTTAGAAAGCTTAGGGCTGTTTTCATGTTTATAAGAAAACTCTTTGACAGAAGTGCAGAAAAACGGCACACACTCTTTGCAAATGCTCAGCACCTGCTTCTGTTAAGGATTAACACTCAGTGACTTATAATTTGGAACATTTAGAGGAGCGACAAAGTCCATGTTTTTGCTGTTTTAGTTCTCTTGCATGAGCAGTTTTTATACTCTGCACCATACCCAAGAGTACATTTTACTTAATAGTTAGTTTCACTAGAATTTTTATGCTAAGCAAGTGGGATTTCTTTTTTCAATGACAGTTATGCTAGGTTTCCATGTGGACAACTGTAGCTTGTTTGGCATTTAATTCTAGAGCCTGGAAATTAGGGGACTGTGGAAACATATGGTGTTTACAAAACTGTTTTTTTATTTTGTTTTGTTTTGTTTTAAGGAGAAGGAGGAGAAGGGGGGGGGGGTCTTAGATTCTCTCTTGGGATGGAGGAGGCTTTGGGGGAAAATCCTTACTCATCAGAGATTCTACCCTATACTAATCACAATAATGTGTAATGATTACAAATTTAACTCAAGTTGAGAAAATAGTGTGAATTTGAATTGTTGAACATAAAAATGAAGAGTAGAAAGCTGTTAGTATTAATCTATTGAGAGCTCTACTCTATGATTCGCCTGAGACAAGAGCTGAATGGTTCTGAATATTGACCCTAAGTTGTGGTCTGAGGTAGTACTTCAGAGGACAAAGGACAATTATTCCTAATGCTGCCCAGCATTGGCAGGGGCCAGGGACGGACAGCTGGCATCAAACACCCAAGTGTCAGGATATTACTTCCACCTTTCTGACTCTTCCCAAGTGAATGGATACACTTTGGGCTGGAACCTCCAGGGCAGAGCAACCTCATGGACAGTTTCCACCTGTTCCTATTGTCTCCTCATCTGCCTACAAGCCCAGGCTGCTCAAATCTGTCCCTCACCAATGCCCAGTAAGCCAGTGGGGAACACACCAGCCCACCATGTTGGAGAGACTGTCCCTTTCCCTCAAGACTGCAACATTGTCCAATTCCAGGACGGTGTTCTTATACACGACTCCTGGAGGTTATACAATCTAACTGTCCCTCTTTTACCTCCCTCAGGCTTTTGATTCTCCAGGGCTAGAGAGGGAGGGAGGAGGAGAAGCCACTGCTATTTAGAGAAATCACAAGTCTCTGCCTTTCTTCTCCATTTGCTTCCTACTGAGCCTTGGAGTTATACTGTCGGTTAGGAAGGAAAGTAAAGAATACTCATTCAGGCTTTAAAAGTTGACTCTGCTCTAGTCCACCTGTAAATTCAGCATAGTGACAGTAGGCCCAGGACTGCTTCCATCTCATGCAGTGGTTCTCACCTTCCTTATGCCATGACCCTTTAATACAGTTCATGTTGTGGTGACCCCCAACCATAAAATAATTTTTGTTGCTACTTCATAACTGTAATTTTGCTACTGTTATGTCTTAGGCGACCCCTGTGAAAGGGTTGTTCAACCCCCACAGGGGTCACGGCCCATTGGTTGAGAACCGCTGCTCTAATGCTTCATGGTTCATGATAGAGCAACAGTCATAGTTACTGCAGATAAAACATTGGCACATTGATCCCCCTTCCCTGCAAACACACAGGTTCTGGCCATAGGCTCGACAATGTTCCAACCCAGTGCCTCTGAATCTAAAGGGCGTCTCAGAGCGTTTTTACGACACCCTCATTAATAATAATAAAAACATTAACCAACGCTGTTATAAATATTCATTCATATGCAAGAGAATTCTAAATTCACAGAATATTTTTCCTGGAATAAACACGTATGGCTTTTGAATACAGGACACTAATGGAACTGTATTAAATAGACATTGCAGCGGAGCCTGGAGTGGCCAGGCTAGCATAATTTCTCATTAGATATCCATTAATTATAGGAAAAGTGCTGTTTCTAAAATGTTTGACAAGTGTGCCTGTGTTAATGATCTCCATCCTTTTCAATGACCTTTTTCATAAAGTCAGATTTTAATCCAAACTTAAGTCCATCTAATTGCTTATTGTAAAAGAATGGATTCCGAATTAATGAACAAAGATGCTCTTAAAAAAGGATGCAGAGACCCTCTTGTATTCAATGCCTATGGGAGCTGTTTCCCAGGCACCACTCAGAGGAAGAAGCAGGCCCAGGACATGTGATCTGTAGCCTGTGGCCAATATTTCACTGTATTTCAAGGGTCTCAAGTTCACAGATACAGAACTGGTCGTGCAGCAGGGAAGATGTCAGCAATTTCTGAGTTTCCTCCTTTTGGGGGTTCCATAGAGATAGTCACCATCTTGAATCCAGGAAGGGGACCAAGCTGGGAATGGAGAAAGTCTGCAGGCCCCCACACACCTGGATGGAAGGTGCTCTGTGCAGGTACCTGAGAAGCAGTCATAACATCTGCCCAGCTGCAGTACATCCTCCCCACGGAGCGCCCATCTGCAATCTAGACACAGAAGAGGACAGAATCGTTGACACACCGTGGTTTTCCTGTGGTGCGTCCCTGTGAGCAGTCCATGCACGTTCACGAGAAGCTACATGGAAGATCAGTCAACACTCCGTGAGTGGCCAGAGCAGCCATCACCAACCTTGCTCTTCTCCTGAGACAGGAGGGCGTCCCCCACCCCAAAGTGCAGAGTTACTCATGCCTTTTGCCTGCTGAGTGTCAGCTAAGCCCAGGACTACCTCCACCCGCATTCCTTGACCCTCCTCAATCCCAGCTGTTTTTCATGACTCCAACCCCACCCTCCCTCCGCCGCTCATTTCTCAAAACCAGGCTCACATACCACACTGCTAAGAAGGAGAGGAACGCGAGAACCACCACGACAGCCACGGAGCCCAGCCCAACGCCTACCATCTGCTGCAGCGCGAGCGGCGAATCTGCAGGACAGAACCACAGCCTGAGCACGGCACACGGCACCGCAGGCCGCAGCAGGCAAGTTCCTCTTGGAAGCACAAACACCTGTGTGCAATGTGCTACCGGGCACGGAAAAGATATTAGGGGCGGACTCTGCGTGTACAGAATTAAAAATGAAAACACCACCAAGCCATGGAATAAATGTAAGAAAGTGAAACCAAGCCCAAATTCTCATAGATGATTTGCTGGGTTGTCACTGTTGGAATATTATTTAATTTTTTGTATCCCTTTTTTTTTTTTTTTTAATCCTCACCCGAGGACATTTTTCCATTTTTTGTTCAGATAGAGCGGGAGGGAGAGAGAGGGAAACATCGATGTGAAGGGACACATCGAGTGGCTGCCACCCGCACGACCAACCAGGGCCGGGACAAACTGCATCCGAGGTACATGCCCTTAGCGGGAACCGAACCCGGGTCTCTCTGGACCGCAGGCCAGTGCTCCAACCGCTGAGCCAAACCGGCCAGGGCTGTATCCCCTTTTTACCAACACCCCAGGTATGTGCTTAGTGTGCCCTGTGGGTAACCCAGCACTGCCCTGGAGGAGCTGAAAACAGCAAAAGCAAAGATCTGTTATGGGGGCGGGGGAGAGGCTTGAGAGGAAAAACAGTGGCCCCTGAACTTGAGATCCTCATCACATAGGTGACTTGTTTTCCTGGCAGTGACTGAGGCACACTTGAGAATAATTCAAGCTACTGAACTTTTTCTTCATCTACTTGCACTGTCCAGGAGGGTAGCCACTAATCGCAAGGTGGCTATTTAAATTACTGTAATTAAAATTAAAATTCAGTTTCTTGACTATTTCAAACACTCAGTTCCAAGGACACGTTTCAAATGCCCAGTAGCCACATGTGGCTCGTGGCTGCCACACTGGACGGTGCAGCCTTGAAATCGTCCCGTCGTTGCAGAGTTCCGTCGGTGGCCACTGCCCTCCTCTCCACGGCCAGGTTAGAGCAGTTTGGTTCTGAGGAGACTCCCTGGCAGCTGCCACCAGCCAAAGCAGCCGTGGAACACACCGCTTGCTAAAGAACCCTGCGGGACTCATGCCCTCCAAACAGACAAAACAAAAAACCCTGCAAGACTCTTTATCTCAGCAAGTGTTGTCAAGAGACTTCTAGAAAAACATGGATTATATTGTTTGGCTACATTTAGTATTCAGACATAAAAGACCCTGACATTTTAAGAAACCATATTATAAAATGGAAGAAAGAGCTGTGGTTAAATTTGAGTTGGTGAAGAAAAAAATGGGGAAGTGATTTGTGGTGTCTTTTTTTTTTTGGTATGTGCTCCTAGCAGGAAACGAACCCGGGACGCTCCAACCGCTGAGCCAAGGCCAGGGCATGGGGGAGTGATCTGGATTATTAGATATTAAAACAGTACAGTATCAGCATAGGAATGGATACAGAGGAACAAAACAGAAAGCCTAGAAACAAACCCAAGTATCAAATAATTTCAGAACTTGAATACTGGAGTCAGATTGTCCAAGTCTGTATTTGAACACTACTGCTCCCTAACTGTGGGACTTTGGGCAAATTATTCAGCCATTCTGTGCCTCAGTTTCCCCACTGAGGGATGATATAATAAAATGGGAACAACAGCAGTATCTACTTTATAAGATTATTGTGAGAAATAAATCAGTTAATATATGTTAGAATAGTACCTGGCACAGAGTCAGCAGTAAGCAAATGTTAGCTATTGTTAACCATGGTTGCTATTGTTGTCTTGTTCCTGTTTCACATCACTGGGGAAATGATACACTATTAATAACTCGTGTTGAGAAAATTGATTAACCATTTAGAGTAAAGTACTTTTGATCAGAACAGCTTATAGTATATACCAAAATAAAATCCAGGTGGATTAAAGACTTTAAATTGAAACCTAAAAGAATTAGAACAAAATGTAAGTGATTATTTATCTAATGTTAAAGAAGGCAAGAATTTTCTAAGCATATTTATTAATGCAGAAACCTAACAATAAGAGAATGAGAGATCTGACCATATTCAAAAGCACGTGATTATGTATACCAAAACTACCATAAGCAAGCTTAAATGGAAAATAGGACACTGGGTAAAATATTTAGAATAATTAAACAGCAAGGGGTTAACACACAGGGAGTGTTATAGATTAATAAGGAAAACACAAACACCTAAAAGTAAAATGAACAAATTCCATGAAAAGGTAACTCACACATAAAACATGAATATAAATGACTGATGAAACTTTGATCAACTGCTCTCCTAGAATAAAATGCAAATTAAAACACTGAGATGTACTAAGTTCACTAGGGTTGTTTTTCTTTCTCACTCTCTCTCTCTTTTTTTTTTATCCTCACCTGCAGACATTTTTCCATTTTTTGTCCAGATAGAATGGGAGGGAGAGAGAGAGAGAAACATCGATGTGAAAGGGACATATCGAGTGGTTGCCACCTGCACGACCCAACCAGGGCCGGGGACAAACTGCAACCGAGGTACGTGCCCTTAGCGGGAACCGAACCCGGGTCTCTCTGGACCGCAGGCCGACGCTCTAACCACTGAGCCAAACCGGCCAGGGCGGGTTGTTTTTCTTTGAAGAGAAAATACAGCATTGGAGATGGTGCCGAGAAACTGGTACTTTATTTTACTACACTGCTGGTTTCATCCAACCTACCAGCATTCCTCTCAACTTTGGCTACCAATGTTTTCTCTACATTGTTTCCTCTCTAGTTTCATCCTCCACATATTTTAAATCCTTGATTGAAGAAAATGTTGAACTGAAGATGACTAGACAGTGACCCATGTCCTACATGTCCCTGGATTTGACATCAACTCATTAATAAGCAACCTTTGCACAGGCATCCCTCCAGTTTCTAAGGTTACACACAGTTCTCATGTCCCCACCTTGTACACAGGGCATTGTTAAGTGTTGGCTGAAGTCAGAATCTAGTATGTCCTTATATTTTCCTGACCAATCAGTGACTCTGTACAAGGCAAAGGAGAGCGATCTGACCTACTCTGCCCACAGCTCCCACGCCGACTGCCGGGAACTGCTGCTGCTTCTACCGGGGAGACACAGAGTCCTCTCTTGAAGATCTTGCCTGGCCTGACTTCAAGTCATCATCATCCATACTTTGCAAAATCTATCTCCATTGTACAAAGTTCCGTGTTCTTTGTTCATCTCCAGCCTTCTTGCTTTTCTCTTCTTCATCGAGATTTCTCAAAGGTCACTTGCAGTGGTTTATCCATTTCATTTGCAAATTGTATAAACCTGCTGGAATGTGCTCCATCCAGGTCAGAAGACTTGAACTTATGTAGAGCAGTTAGCTCTTCTCGTTTTTAAATATCCCCTCAAAAGCCAACAGGACAGAAGCAAAGGAGGAACTGAGGAACCTAACCTTCTCTTGACCATCCACAAACAGGACCCAACTATTCCTTGCTACAGATGAAAGTATTGGAAAATCACCTTTATTTATTCAGTGTAACATGACTTGGGTTTTGGCTTCGGGCATGATTCTTGCTGATAGAACAGTTCTTGATTATATGTCTCTTTATTTACTTGGTCTTCATACTCCGTGAAAATCTGAGCCAGTCCAATCAAGAGCACTCATGATGTAGCCACATGGACCTCTTTAGGGACTCCCCTATTAAATCCTTACTGAGAAAACTTAAAACTAGTCAGTTTGAATTACATTTCTTACAGTTTGCCATCCTCCCTTCCATGGTCTCATGCCATGAAATCATGCTTTTCTCCCCTCAAGCGCTTGCAGAATATTCTTTTAGAAACCCACGTGACTCGATCACGTGTTATATCCCAGATTCTCAGTGACTCATTCTTGGAGAAAGTAAATCCATTAGGCTTAAACTCCACCATTCTCCTCAAGATGGCTCCCTGAAGAGGTACAGTGCTTAGGAGGAATGATAGGACTTCTCTGGGCTTACCTTTAACCCTTTCATGAACGGAAATATCACAGATGCTGAAGAGCCAGTTAGAAAGGCCCTATTCCACTTTGCTGGTTTGGCTCAGTGGTTAAAAGCATCGGCCTGTAGACCAAAGAGTTGTGGGTTCAATTCCTAGTCAAGGGCATGCACCTGGGTTGCAGGTTTGATCCCTGGCCCAGGTCAAGGTCATGCAGGGGGCAACCAATCAATGTGTCTCTCTCACATTGATGTTTCTCTCTCTCCCTCCCTCCCTTCCATTCTATCTAAAAAAAAATCAATGAAAAAATATCCTCTGGTGAGGATTAACAAAAAAAGGAGAAGAAGGAGGAGGATGAGAAAGGCCCTATTCCTACTCTCAGACTTTATGATAGCTTGAGAATTTCCTATGGCTGTGGATGGTTTTTCATGAACTATCATTTCCTGAAAGTAAAAATTCTGTTCTCCAAAAGCTACACATAATTAGCACTGTGACTTCTCTTTAGTGTGTAAGATTTCTCTTGCTATTCTCACTTGTATTGCCCACAGAGTAGATGGCAAAGGAGGTCAAAGTAGAAAACTAATTTAAAGATAAGTAGCCTGTACCTCAAAAAGTTAAAAATTGAACTGCCATTTGACCCAG